CCAAGCCCCCCGGATTACGTGTTTCGGACTGTCCCTGTGCTACTCCACATTCTGCAGGACACATGGCAAAGCAGAAGGATCCTCCTCTTCTACTGATCGGTTCCCTGACGGAAGGCATTAGCAAAACATGTCAATCGATCCCTACGAGAATTCATCACCCAAGCCATTCTGTGAATCTCCTCTTCCACGATGTGGCTCAGCAGCTTGCTCCACACTCACCTAACCCTAACCCTAACCCTAACCGCCACCCTTAGTGTAAAGAAGCGCCTCCTGTCCTTACTGAAGGATCTCATCCCGTGTTTTCTTGGAAGAACCCAGGGTATCGGGCCCCAGCAACGGGGCTGGGCAGCTTGCTCCACTCTCCCACCACCCTCTGTGTAAAGAAGCGCCTCCTGTCCCGGGTTTTAGATGTTTCTGCTTGTGTACCCCCGTCTCGGGTTTCGGGGTGGGTGCTGGGTTGCCCCTTTGTCGCTGGTCAAAGCTCCGGGTCACCGTTTGTGAGCTGGGACCGGATTCAGGGAGGAGGGCGGAGCAGCTGGGGTGGGTTATCCTGCCACAGATCCCGTCTGCACACAAGGGGCTGGATCGGGGGGGGGGGCAGGCAGGAAGGGAGGAGGGTGATTGGGGGGCCTGTTGGAGGCTCTCACCCCCCCGACACGCGCCTGAGCTCCAGCCTCCAGTGAGGATGTGGTGCTGGTTAAGGGAGGCGGTTGCCATGGCGACGGGAGGCGAGGAGCCGGAGCGCTCCTGTCCGTTGCCGAGCATCGCCGCCTCTGTGCGCTGTGCGCCCCCCTCCTGTCTTGGCGGGGGGGGGGATCGATGCAAGACGTGTCCCCCGAGCGGCGCCGGTATCGAGAGGGCAGTGCCGCAGTGCCAGCGCAGCTCGTCTGTCGTGGTCCTCTGGGTCCGGCCAGAGCGCGGCGGCCTGCAGAGGCGCCAGACACTCGGACCCGCCTCCGCGTCCAGCCGAGCGGGGCAGGCCCGCCGTGAACGAGGCAGGGAGGAGGGGGCGCCCTCGGCTGGTCCCCCCCCCTTGCCCATGTGTCGCTCGCTCGCTGCCCCGCTGGGATCGGCCTCTGGACTGCTCCGCTGCTGGAGACGAGCAGATCAGCAGGCAGAGGGAGGGCTCCCCCGGGCGCAGTGGGATCTAGCTCCTGGGATCAGCCTGGGAGAGCGAGCGCGTTGCTCCGGTGCCCAGCTGCCCGAGCCCTGTCCTTTTGGCTTGTGTGGTCCGGGGAATACCAGGGACAACCTGGACGCGCTCATCGCCACAGGGGGAAAGCGGGCGGGGTTGTGAGGCAAAAAGGCCACACTATATATGCCAGGGGTGTCCAGTCCACGTCCAGGTGCAGACACAACGCCCCTCCTGGCCCGGAACTGGACACCCCTGCTGCAGACACACTGACCCCTCCTGGACCAGGACTGGACACCCCCGCTGCAGACACACTGACCCCTCCTGGACCAGGACTGGACACCCCCGCTGCAGACACACTGACCCCTCCTGGACCAGGACCGGACAGCCCTGCTGCAGACACACTGACCCCTCCTGGACCAGGACTGGACAGCCCCGCTGCAGACACACTGACCCCTCCTGGACCAGGACTGGACACCCCTGCTGCAGACACAGCGCCCCCTCCTGGCCCAGGACTGGACATGTAGATTAGGCGTAGTGTATGTGTACAGAATACATATGTATATCTATATATCTGAGGGGACTCTGACCTGTGATAAACAACTGGTGCTTGGGGCCAGTTCCAGACCTAGGTCCTGTCTGTGTGGAGTCTGCATGATCTCGCCGTGTTCAGTCCAAAGACACGCGGGCGAGCTAATTGGGTGCGAGTGTGCGTGTCCCTCTGTGTGCCCTGTGATGGGCCGGTGTCCCGTCCAGAGTGTCCTCGCTGGGATAGGCTCCAGCTCCCCAGGGACCCCGGACTGGACGCAGAGGTGAGAGAACGGATGGTCTCCAACACCTCATCGTCATCGTCATGAAATCCTAATGGTCATTAAACCCAAGCTCGACCCGAATCGGCATCGGAGCAGAAAGCGAACTCGACAGGAGAGATGAGCGTTTTATTTCAGAACAGATTTATTGTCGGGATCTCTCTGCCTCCCTCTCTCCAGCCCCTGACCCCCGGGGGAGACGCACGGATCTGCCCCGGCGGCTGTCGCCCGCAG